AACAGTAACAATAATGCCAGTAAGTGGTCAAAAGCGATAAAGTACACCCTTGACCTATTCAAGCCATACAAGTCACATATCAAGTGCATTCAACCATTTAATGATACACTCACCAAGTAATCAAGTAAATCACACGTTCGAGTCAGGAGTAGGTCCCGGTCCACCGGTACGACCTAAAACAAGCAAGAAAACATATTTGAGACTCAAACACGAGTCAACGTATAAGTTTATCCTACTAACACAAGTTACTCAAAATAAAAATGGAGCAACGAAAGTGTGGAATGTGAACAAACTCCCCAATTCTTCCATTTCTATTCAAATCCTTCTCAATTCAAGACCACCCATATTTCCAACCAATTGGGCGGCATTTCCCCTTAATTTCTTCACATTTCCAACCTAGTGAACAACACCCAACTTATACCATTACACTTATGGTTCTTAAACTAGTCCATTCACCCCATTTGAATCACAATACAATCATATACACATCAATTGCTAACATGAAAACCATACATGGAAAAGCCCCAATTTCATCAAACCCTACAATCGAAATTTTCTCACAAATGCTGAAATTTTCCACAATTAACTACCATTACCACAAATAGGCTCTAAATCATTCAATACAATACCATCACATCCTAGTTAATCATGAGAAACCATATAAAACAGAAAATTCCCCAATAAATAGAAAATTATCACAACTCATCTATAAGTCATGAAATAACCCACAAAATTGCATCTTTAACCACTAACACTTATCAATTTCATCCTACATCCAACAAAGAAACAATTCCATATTTACTCACCTTACAATTTCTTGATACAAGGTAGATGAGAGCTTTTCCTTTCAAACAAAAACCACCAAACACTTCAAGCACTCTTAGCAAGAAGGTTTTATGGAGAGATTTGGAAGATTAATGGTTAAATTCCAAGATTTGGGCAAGAAAATGAAGCAATAGTTGAAGAGCTTTCTTTCTTTTTTTCTCTCTAGTTGGCCGGCCAAGATGATGGAAATGATGAAGAATTTTGGTCAAAATTTATTTTAGTAAAGGTGTAAGACAAGTCAAAATTCAACCTCCAATGAAAATGTGACATGTGGCCTTTCAAGCTTATCCCTTCCTATTGTCTTACATTACTTAATTAGACCAACTAACCTCTAATTAACTCATAACCCAAGATAATAAACACTCTGTATATAAAATTTTCCAAAAGCTACATTTTACAGTACCGATCGTCTTAGTGGGTCCCGCAACCACTGTACACCCTTAATAGCACAGAAATTGACCTAATCCCAGAAAATGATGCCAAATTCATATTTTCTCATAAAATTTCCCAGAAAACCCACAGACAAAAGAAAACCCTAAAAATTAGGCCCAAAAGCCCAAAATAAATGCCTGAAAAATAAGAAATTTTTCGCGGTCTCACACTCTCTCCCCCTTAAAGAATTTCGTCCTCGAAATTTCTCACCTGAATCACTAAACAGTTCGGGATATTTGGTTTTCATCTCATTCTCCATCTCCCAGGTTGCCTCCTCGACTCCGTGGTTCTTCCACAGCACTTTCACCAGTGGAATTTGCTTATTCCTCAACTCCTTAATTTTCCTATCAAGCACTTGTACAGGTTTTTCTTCGTAAGTAAGGGCCTCATCAATTTCAATCTCTTCCGGCTGGACAATGTGGGTTGGATCAGGGTAATACTTTTTGAGCATCGATACATGAAATACATCGTGAATCCGTGACAAGCTCGGCGGCAATTCAAGCCGGTATGCTACTTTTCCAACCCGTTGAAGGATCGGAAACGGTCCTATGAATCTAGGTTGGAGTTTCTTTCCTCTGCCAGCAGTGATGCTCCGCAATGGTGTAATCTTAAGGAATACATGGTCTCCCACTTCAAATTCCAAGTCTTTCCTTCGGTTATCGGCGTAGCTCTTCTGGCGACTTTGGGCTGTCTGGAGTCTTTGACGGATTAACTTGATCTTTTCTTGAGCATCCTCCATCCAAGGAATGATAGTAGGGTCTAGGATCTTCTTCTCTCCCACTTCATCCCAGTATATCGGTGAACGGCACTTTCGTCCATAAAGGGTTTCGTACGGTGCCATTTGGATTGATGAGTGGTAGCTGTTATTGTAGGCGAACTCTACTAATGTCATATGTTGTCCCCAATTACCCCCGAAATCTAGAATACTCGTTCGTAACATATGTTCGAGGGTCTGAATCGTTCGCTCCGACTGCCCATCCGTCTGAGGATGATAGGTAGTACTTAAGTTCAGCTTCGTCCCCAAGGTCTCCTGAAACTTTTGCCAAAATTTGGACACAAAACGAGGGTCTCGATCGGAAACGATGCTCACAGGCACTCCATGCAGTCTCACAATCTCCTCCAAATATACCTGAGCTAACTTATCCATGGAATACTTCATATTCACAGGTAGGAAATGAGCCGACTTGGTCAATCGATCAACGATCACCCAAACGGCATCATGTCCTTTTTGAGTTCTAGGTAGTCCAGAAACGAAGTCCATGGTGATATGTTCCCATTTCCATTCGGGAATCTCCAAAGGCTGTAGTAGTCCCGAAGGGTTCTGGTGCTCAGCCTTAACTTGCTGGCATACTAAACAGGTTTGTACGTACTGAGCTATCTCTCTCTTCATCCGGTCCCACCAGTACAATCGTCGCAAGTCATGATACATCTTGTTACTTCTTGGATGGATTGTATACTTAGATCGATGAGCTTCCTCCAAAATTTCCCTTCTCAAAGTTTCATCATTGGGTACCACTATTCGATTTCGAAATCTTAAAATCCCTTCAGAGCTCAAATTAAAATCGGAAATTTCTCTTTTCTTCACCTTTTCTACCCACATTTGAACTGTCGGATCTTTAGTTTGAGCTTCCTTGATCTTTTCTAAAAATACGGACGTCACTCGGATATTCCCAAAGATTATTCTATTATGCTCTAGCTTTGGATTCCATTCTCCAACAGCTCCCAATAATTCCCACTCCTTCACCATCAATCCAGAAGTTTGAGCCTTTCGACTTAAGGCATCGGCTACCACATTAGCCTTACCAGGATGGTAGTTAATAGTTTAATCGTAATCCTCCAAGAATTCCATCCAACGGCGTTGTCTCATGTTCAACTCCTTCTGGGAAAAGAGGTATCTGAGGCTCTTATGGTCAGAATAAACTTCAAAAGTCACTCCGTACAGATAGTGTCTCCACTTTTTCAGAGCGAAGACAACTGCGGCCAGTTCTAGGTCATGAATGGGATAGTTTTGCTCATGAGTTTTCAATTTCCTGGAAGCGTAAGCTATCACATTTTGGTGTTGCATCAATACGCACCCCAAACCTTCTTTGGAGGCGTCAGTGTAAACAGTAAAACCATCCGGACCGTTAGGTAAAACTAGAATAGGGGCCATAGTCAATCTCTGCTTCAGCTCTTGAAAGCTGGTTTCACACTTATCACTCCACAGAAATCGTCCACCATTTTTTGTTAGATCGGTTAAGGGACTGGCAAGTTTCGAAAAATCTTTGATAAATCGCCGGTAATAACCTGCCAACCCTAGAAAACTCCGGATCTCAGTAGGGTTATCGGGTCTCTTCCACTCAGTTACCGCCTCTACCTTGGCCGGATCCACAGCAATCCCTTTCTTTGAAATCACATGCCCCAGAAAAGAAACCCTTTCTAGCCAAAACTCACATTTGCTAAACTTAGCATACAACTGGTGCTCCCTCAGGGTTTGTATGACCTCTTTCAAATGTTGTTCATGCTCCTCACGGGTTTTTGAATAAACCAATATGTCATCAATAAAAACAACGACAAATCGGTCGAGATAAGGTTTGAAAATTCTATGCATGAGGTCCATGAAAGCAGCAGGGGCATTGGTCAGTCCAAAAGGCATCACGACAAATTCGTAGTGCCCATACCGAGAATTGAAGGCGGTTTTAGGCACATCTTCCTTTCTAATTAACAGTTGGTAATACCCCCTGTCGAAGATCTAACTTTGAGAAGACCACCGCACCATGTAATTGATCAAACAACTCATCGATGTGGGGTAGCGGATACTTATTCTTAATGGTCACATTGTTCAACCCTCGGTAGTCGATACATAATCTCAAGGTTCCGTCCTTCTTCTTAACAAAGAGAACAGGTGCCCCCCAAGGTGATCCGCTCTCGTGAATGAAACCCCGCTCTAGAAGGTCTTGTAACTGAAATTTCAACTCTTTGAGCTCCGCAGGTGCCATTTGGTAAGGAGTTTTGGAAATAGGGGAAGTCCCTGGAAGAAGATTAACTTCAAATTCAATTTCTCTTTCTGGAGGCAGATTTACTAACTCGTCAGGAAAGACATCAGGGTATTCACTCACTACTGGAACATCTTCTATTTTCAGTTTGTCGGCAGGAGTGTTTATAAGAAAAGCTAGGAACCCTTGCGCCCCTCTACTCAATAATTTCCTAGCTCGAATACCCGATATCATAGCAGATGAGGCTAGACTACCCCTCACATCTAACATCAAAGTTGCCTCCCCAGGAATACGAAATTCAACTATTTTCCTCTTACAATCCAGTTGGGCATCGTATCGAGCCAACCAATCCATGCCTAACATCACGTCGTATCCCTTTATGGCTAAACTTATCAAATTCCCCAATAACTTCCGCTCACCAACCCAGATCTCACAATTTGTATACATTTTGCTAGAAATCAAGCATTGGTCCCCCGTAGCAGTACTAACTTCCAGCTCATAAGGAAGAGTGACAGGGTTTATATCAATTCCACACATAAACTCGGGGTTAACAAAGGAATGGGTGGCTCCAGGGTCTATCAAAATTCTAGCTAGGCGGTGGAAGACAGGAATCGTACCTTCCACTACCTCGGCTGAGTCAGGAACTGGCCGTTGTTCAATGGAGTACACACGTGCGGGCACCTTCGGCTTGACAGTCTCTACTCGTGATTGACTTGAGGTAGCCTTGGATGTCGGTGTAGTTCCTTTCACGTCTCGGGCTTGAACTGGTCAACTGGCGAGCCGGTGCTCTGCACTCCCGCAGCGTAAGCACTTATTCTGTTTCCTCCAGCAGTCGTCCTCCGTGTGGTTTGGTTTCCCACTAAAGCCGCACGGCCCCCGCGTAACAGTAGCGGAACTCCCTTGTGAGGCACTCCTCTGCTGGCCTCGTCCGGGTTGGCTTCCTCGAGAGGGAGCCCCTCTGGCCGGACTCGCAAACCGTCCCCCTCCAACTCCCCTTCCAAATTTAGGAGGGGTACTCTTATCCCCTTGAGTTGAGCTACTCCCAGCAGCTCCACCCTTCCTATTCTGGAAATTCCTCACCTGAAGCCTTGCGTTCTCGGATCGTAATGCCTTCTCAACAGCATCACTGAAAGTGGTGATTTGGGCTACGGCCAAATCCTTTTGGATTTCCACATTAAGCCCCTGAAGGAAACGTCTCGCCCTCCTTTGCTCCGTCAAAATGAGCTCAGGGGCAAACTTGGACAAGCGTGTGAATTGGCTCTCATATTCAGCCACCGATTGCGTGCCTTGGCGTAGACGAATAAATTCGTCCTCCTTTTTCTCCTGAACCAATGGCGGAAAGTACTTGGCATTGAATTCCCGTACAAAATTCGTCCATGTCCTCGGTGTCTGCTCTCGCTCCCATTTTGTCCGAATAATGCTCCACCAAGAGTGAGCGGCCCCTTCGAGTTGAAAAACCACAAAAGTAATTTGCCTCTCCTCCGAGTAACGTAGGGCGGCAAAAATGTCTATCATCTTCTCCAACCATTGTTCCGCCACGTCCGGATCGGGTCCTCCAAGAAATTTAGGTGGAGAAAATTTTTGGAATCGTTCGAGAGCTCGATCTTCGCTCTCGACATGATTTCCAGGGTTTTCAGGGTTGCCGACGGGTGGATTAGGGTTGGGGCCCTGTTGCTGCACCACCTGGGCCAGGAGATCAGTCATCCGCTGGATAGCAGCGGCTACTTGCACATTAGGATCGATTTGGGGTTCAGGAATTGGTTCGGGCAATTCAGTTCTCGTACCCTGTTCAGTCGTGGGCTGTCTACCCCCACGTCCTCTACCTCGGCCACCACGCGTACCTTTCATCGTCCTAGGTCAATCTAGGGTCAAAATATGCACATAAATATAGCATTAATATAAAAGTGTACACCCCCTGTATATAACAATAAACATGAACACTCAGCCCAACAATGACTTCATAAAACACTTAGGCACATAACACATATTCATAGCATTCACAACAAGATCAAACATTTATACCAAATAGTCAGTCAAGTACAAACAGGGAAAGCCTCTTACGGAATGGCAATACAAAAGTAATATATACAAAACTAGTCCAATATACAACGCGACTAGCTAAGGGTCCTTCCCGGCCTACCATTCCGTATCCCTTATATATACAAGAGTCAAAAATTCCCAAAATAGCATAAAAGCCAAGCCCTAGCCTACCGTGGGACTAGAGGACCTACTCGCTTGGGCGGGTTCACTTCCAACCCCGCCTCCTACACTAGAGCCCTCGTCACCCTCGTCCCCTAATAGGTCATCACATAGGTTTAGCATTGATCCGGCCCTCTCCTTCAGTTGCCTCGCCCGCTTGACCATACATTCGCGCATCTCCCCAAGTTGCGTACACAAGTCGTCCACCCTATCTTGACCTTCAACCAGGTCATACTCCAACTCCTTAATCCGCTCAGCTTGCCTCTTGTTAGCCTCTCTCAATTGGTTTGTTTCGGCTTCAAGCCTTGCATAATCCTTGGCTAACTCCTTCCTTTCTTTGTCCACAGCCAACACGAGGGTATTGGGGCAGGCAAACCTATGGCGGCACTCACAACGCCGGAGGCGACTAGCCGGACTCCAGCGTACAGTTGATCCTCTCGGCCGAATCTGATACTTAATCAACGGAAGTACTCCACGGCCCTGCTCCACGGTCGGTGTCTCACTAGATTCACTATGCGCGTCCATCCTACACGAAAGCGTAATTAAACTCAAACACCCTTAGGAAAACAATCAAATACAAGTCCCAAGTCCATAAATTTCTAACATGCCCAGGTTAATCTAAACCTAGGCTCTGATACCACTTGTGACGACCCATCCCCCCCTAAGGCGAACCAGAGGGGTTGACGAACCGCCTGCCCAGCTCTCGCCGGGACTACGGGTCGCAAGCAATCAAATCGCATTTGAATAATAAAAAGGGAAACTTGACAAAATGAATGATTTATCCCAATAAGGTATTCTTAAAACCATAATATCACTACACAAGAACGTATAGCGCTCGAGCACTTCAATCGGACAAGAAGACGAAAAACGAAAATTTGCCGCTGATGAACAGTAACCGGCCACGTCACTATCCGGCCAGAATCTGGCCGGATATCCGGCCGGATTCTTGGCCGGATATGAGGCAGTGGCCAACCCAAAAGGGGTCGAAATTCCCCTGTCAATCCGGCCGATAATCCGGCCGGAAGTTGGCCGGATTGCTCTGGCCGGATTGTGGCCAGTAGCCAAAAACCAAATTTTTTTTTCTTTCTCCCCTGCATATCCAGCCTTGTATCCGGCCAGAAACTGGCCGGATTCTTGGCCGGATTCTGGGCAGTGTTTTTGCCAAAATCCTTTCTTCCTTCGTTCGCAGCCGATACTCACATAAACCCATCAAATACATAATGCAGTTTATCCAAGACTTGATAAAGCCATATATACATGCCATATATACATAAGAAAGGTTCAATTATACACTTCAAAAGTACTTGAATTCAAATACATCAAAGTTTTCGAGTGTACGAGGAGCTATTCAAAACTAGTTACATAACTAGCTCAACCCATATTTCTCAAAACTTGGGTCCCACAGTATCCCTGTAAGGAAAACAAAACGACGGGGGTGAGCTTACGCTCGTGAGGTACCAAATTCACAAATAATGAAGCATGCTAACAAATACATATGCGCAAGTGTCTTCATTCAATCAATCATCTATAAAAGGATACAGTCGGCCCTCAAGGGCCATTTTCCGATTTCCATACTTGATTATATCCGTTGACACTCCGTCAACCATTGGAGAAAACCAAGAACCGTAGGCACCTCTTTACACCATTTCCTTCCACCAATCACACCCTTACCGGGCCCGCACACCTCACAGTTACAAAAGGTAATACTCGAGTATACCATAAGGTCGAGGAGTGAATACTCCACTCGACTATCAGTGACCCAAAGGCACGTTAACGATTCGCCCAAGCCCTAGCCGGCTCGACTCGAATAACGGCCTAAGGGAAAGAGCTCAGTTTTCACAGTAATAATAGGGCATGGCCCTAGCAAATATCAAACCACATATATACATGAAATTTCACAGTCTAACAGTAACAATAATGCCAGTAAGTGGTCAAAAGCGATAAAGTACACCCTTGACCTATTCAAGCCATACAAGTCACATATCAAGTGCATTCAACCATTTAATGATACACTCACCAAGTAATCAAGTAAATCACACGTTCGAGTCAGGAGTAGGTCCCGGTCCACCGGTACGACCTAAAACAAGCAAGAAAACATATTTGAGACTCAAACACGAGTCAACGTATAAGTTTATCCTACTAACACAAGTTACTCAAAATAAAAATGGAGCAACGAAAGTGTGGAATGTGAACAAACTCCCCAATTCTTCCATTTCTATTCAAATCCTTCTCAATTCAAGACCACCCATATTTCCAACCAATTGGGCGGCATTTCCCCTTAATTTCTTCACATTTCCAACCTAGTGAACAACACCCAACTTATACCATTACACTTATGGTTCTTAAACTAGTCCATTCACCCCATTTGAATCACAATACAATCATATACACATCAATTGCTAACATGAAAACCATACATGGAAAAGCCCCAATTTCATCAAACCCTACAATCGAAATTTTCTCACAAATGCTGAAATTTTCCACAATTAACTACCATTACCACAAATAGGCTCTAAATCATTCAATACAATACCATCACATCCTAGTTAATCATGAGAAACCATATAAAACAGAAAATTCCCCAATAAATAGAAAATTATCACAACTCATCTATAAGTCATGAAATAACCCACAAAATTACATCTTTAACCACTAACACTTATCAATTTCATCCTACATCCAACAAAGAAACAATTCCATATTTACTCACCTTACAATTTCTTGATACAAGGTAGATGAGAGCTTTTCCTTTCAAACAAAAACCACCAAACACTTCAAACACTCCTAGCAAGAAGGTTTTATGGAGAGATTTGGAAGATTAATGGTTAAATTCCAAGATTTGGGCAAGAAAATGAAGCAAGAGTTGAAGAGCTTTCTTTCTTTTTTTCTCTCTAGTTGGCCGGCCAAGATGATGGAAATGATGAAGAATTTTGGTCAAAATTTATTTTAGTAAAGGTGTAAGACAAGTCAAAATTCAACCTCCAATGAAAATGTGACATGTGGCCTTTCAAGCTTATCCCTTCCTATTGTCTTACATTACTTAATTAGACCAACTAACCTATAATTAACTCATAACCCAAGATAATAAACACTCTGTATATAAAATTTTACAAAAGCTACATTTTACCGTACCGATCGTCTTAGTGGGTCCCGCAACCACTGTACACCCTTAATAGCACAGAAATTGACCTAATCCCAGAAAATGATGCCAAATTCATATTTTCTCATAAAATTCCCCAGAAAACCCACAGACAAAAGAAAACCCTAAAAATTAGGCCCAAAAGCCCAAAATAAATGCCTGAAAAATAAGAAATTTTTCGGGGTCTCACATGTCCCAATATAAAAGGGACACTTATCCTATTGTATATTCTCCACTTGTCTAGCATGCAAATTTTCACCTATTTTACACATTTCCCTTATTATATTTTGCATATTTTCTTATTTCTCTTTTTTCTTTTTTCGATAAAGTTTAATACTAAAAACTTTAAAATAAAAGTTAAAAGACTAATGAGCAAAATGGATAATAAAATAAAAATAAAATAAAATAAAAACCCTAGAATTGAAACAAATAAAGCAAAAAATTAAATTAATTAAACCAATAAAATTAAAAAATCAAAATTTTGGTGTCTATAGTTTGCCCCTCTTTGTCTGAGTTTCGAAGAAACTTGAGACAAAGACGTAGACACCAAATACTTACCTGCGTTATTCGGCTGCAAACGACTCAAGCGACTGATGCTATAAAAATGGGGACTGACTCCTTTGACAAAAAAATTTTAAAATGGGACTGACCCAAACGAGAAATTTAAAATCGAGACTGACCCAAACAGAAAATTAAAATCGGGACTGACCCGAACCGAAAATTTAAAATCATGGGACTAACCCGAACAAAATTAAAATCATGGGACTGACCCGAACAAAAAGTTTAAATCATGGGACTGACCCGAAAAAAACTAAAAATCATGGGACTGACCCGAACAAAACTTAAAATCACTTAAAATCATGGGACTGACCCGAACAAACTTAAAATCATGGGACTGACTCGAACAAAATTAAAATCATGGGACTGGCCCGAACAAAATTTAAAATCATGGGACTGGCCCGAACAAATTTAATCATGGGACTGACCCGAACAAAATTAAAATCATGGGACTGACCCGAACAAACTTTAAATCATGGGACTGACCCGAACAAAATTAAAATCATGGGACTGACCCGAACAAAAAGTTTAAATCATGGGGCTGACCCGAACAAAATTTAAAATCATGGGACTAACCCGAACAAAACTTAAAATCACGGGACTGACCCGAACAAAATTT